TGCCCTGATGAGTGCAAGATGAAAAGCTTTTAATAATGTGACTTTTCCAGCTATATACAAGTTTTGTATTACCAAATGCCAATATGTTATGCTTAGTAAATTGGATTGGGAATTATGTATAGGAAGTGTTATGAGAATCTGCTTGATGGGACTTGATATGTACTTTCTTACAGGGAGTTTCAGATACTTGGGACTGTTGAATATTGTGCATGCATCATCCACTATTATTTAAATATAATTTAGATTAATATCCTTTTTTACATTTTCTTCTGTACAATATAAGGTCCATTCCCCTCCTGTCAGCCCCCAATAAGACCTATTCCAGTGAATTCCCACAGTTAGGTAAAAGAAAACATTTGAAGAAGTCTACTGATGACTTTCTGAAGAAGCCAGTGATGCATGGTGCCTTGAGACATTAACTGGGATGGGATGAGAGCTCTTAGCATATTTACATGCAAACCCCACTAAAAGCAATACTCAGCGCAATAGAGGACTCACCATCCTTTTTTGACCAGGAACATCCTGATAACATTTAGCACTGGAATTTAAAGTGAATGGTCAGCCCATTAAATTCTTCCGTTTCTTTTAACTTACTGCTGGTCTGAGTGAGCAACAAATATGCACATCTTTTAGCCTCAAAGACAAGGGGGAAGCTGGAGTTCAGGAATTGGGTGAGTAATGAGCATGATTTGCTAGGCTGTATATGAATCTTTCTCAAAAATATATAAAAGATAACTTGAGTGGAATTAGATAGATTTCATTTTTTAAAAATGTGACTGCATATTTCTAAGTCTCTGCATTTCTCTTAGAAACTTCCACTGTACTAAGTAGCAGTAGATTAACAGCTAGTCTGCCTTATTGCTTTGTATTGCTTATGATCAAAGAAATTTTAAGTGCAGGTACCATTTTGCCTACTTGCTATGGTACCCAGACACAAAAGCTATTACTCTAATCTCACGCTCTTGTTCTTTCTCCATACAATTTTATAATCTTGTTCTTCAAATATTTATCAAGCTCACACTTAAATATTGGGATTACATTGCTTTAACAGCCATTGGGGAAATAAATTTGATTTTTCTAATAATCATACTATCTGACAGCACAGAGGAGGCCATGCAAACCAGACTGTCAATGTTGACTCTTCGGAAAATCTACAAATTAGTTCCCCTCCTCAACTCTTCCCCTTACACCTGGGAATTGTTTTTCTCTTTAAGTATATATCCCCTTCCCTTTTGGAAGTTACTATTGAAGCTGCTTTCTCCGCAGCGTTGGAAGGTTTGAGCTATAGTGACAGGCTGAACAGGCTGGGCTATTTTCCCTGGAGCATCGGAGGCTAAAGAAGTTTATAAAATCATGAGAGACATGGATAGGATGACTAGCCAACATCTTTTCCCCAGGATATGGTAGTCCAAAACTAGAGCGGATAAGTTTAAAGTGAGAGGGGAATGATTTAAAGGGGACCTAAGGGGCAACTTTTCATGCAAAGGGTGATGCGTGTATAGAATGAGCTGCCAGAGGAAGTGGTGGAGGCTGGTACAATGACAACATTTAAAAGGCATCTGGATGGATATATGAATAGGAAGGGTTTAGAGGGATATGGGCCAAATGCTGGCAAAAGGGACTAGATTAATGTAGAATATCTGGTTGGCATGAATGATTTGGACCAAACGATCTGTTTCCGTGCTGTATAATTCTATGACTTTATGACCATACGACCTTTTCGAGCAGTTCATTTCAAATCAGAATAGAACTGAATAGAACCTTAATTCCTCATATGTCCTCTGATCGTTTGCCAATCACATTTACACCTATATCCTCAGGTTACTGACCCTTCTGCATGTGAAAACATGTCTTCATGTCTAATACATTAAAATTCCTAATTAATTCTAACAGCTTTATAAATTATTGCCTGAAATTTCTTTGATCTAAGGAGAACAATCCAAGACACGTTTTCCGAATGAAAGTTTCTGCATCCCTGGTACCATACTGGGAAGTCTCTGCACCTTCTCCAAAATGATATGTCTTCGAGAGTGTGGTGTTCAGAATTGATATTTATTCTTTCATGGGATGTGGACATCACTGGTTAGGTCTGCATTTACCATCCCTCTAATTGTCCCTGAGAAGGTAGTAGTGAGCCACCCTCTTCCATCTGATAATAGTTTGATATAACTGTGTAGCTTGCTTGGCTATTTCAGAGGGTTAGTTAAGAGTCAACCGTATTTCTTCAAAGTCACACGTGGGCTGGTCACACACACACACACACACACACACACACACACACACATTCAGAACTGGGACCCATAGATGCGTGAAAGTAGGAATCTCAATCTATTCTATTGGCCCATGGGAACATTGCATTTGCCTTCAGAGTGCATTTCAATCTAACTCACACAGTATAATTCCATAAAGGAAAATGCTGCTAATTCAGTCTCTCTCCAAATGTATATCTCATGCAGGGATGATATCATTCTGGGTTATAATGCAGAGCACAAAGCACAGGCAGAAAAGGGGACCAAACATACCAGCATTTGAATCCATTCACTGCATTATTCATTTTGTTATGAATTACACTATTGTTCACAACAGACTTGTTCAAAACTGTGATCTTTTAGAGAAAGTTCATCATCAGAAAAAAATATTGACAGAAAAAAAATTGGGAAAGAGGGAGCACAAGAGGACTAAATTGTCTAGAAATATAAGCCTTTTAGGGGAAAAAGTATGTGGTGCAGTAATAACAAATATCTTAATATGACATTTCACTGTCTTTAAGGCTGTAAATAGCCCATTTCAAGTGAAATAATCTGTTGTGAACAGTTCAATTTCAGCCCAGTGTCTGCTCGCGAATCACCTTAAGAGGTAGATACTGAGTTTATTGGGCAGCCTGTAAATAAATTACAATCCTTGTTTTTAAATTCTACCATCATAAAGAAATATTTTGGTTCATCACATATGCATATAACAGTCACATGCATAACTGTGGAAAAATGCATTCAATCAAACAATAAAAATGGTTGCAATAGCCAATCAGGTATCTGAAAGGAGAAATGTTTGATTGACAAGGTGAGTAGACTAGGAGTAGGCTAATCCCAGGAGAAAATGATTCATATTGGACTTAATGGTTATTCCAAGTTCTAAATGAGTATATTTTAGACCATAAAAGGTAGAAGCAGAAGTAGGCTATTCAGCCCATCAAGTCTGCTCTGTCCTTCAATGACACCATGGTGGATCCGATAATCCTCAATTCCATTTTTCTGCCTTTTCCCCATAACCCTTGATTCCCTCACTGATTTAAAATCTGTCTATCTCAGCCTTGAATATACATAATAATCTAGCCTCTACAGCCCTCTGCAGTAAAGAATTCCACAGGTTCGCTACCCTCTGAGAGAAGAAATTCCTCCTCATCTCTTTAAATGGGCAATCTCTTACTCTGAGATTGTACGCTGTGGTCCTAGACTCCTCCACCGGGGTTAACAGCTTTCTGGACCCACCCTGTCAAGTCCCGTAAGAATCCTGTATGTTTCAATAAAGTCACCTCTCATTCTTCTAAAATCCAATAAGTACAGGCTCATCCTACTCACCCTCTTCTTATAAGACCATACCTGGGCTTAGCTTTCTCTGGACTGCCTCCAATGCCAGTGTAAATTTCCTTTGATAAGGCATCCAAAATTGTTCACAGTTTTCCAGCTATGATCTGACTAGTGTCTTCCATACTTTTAGCTAAACCCTCCTACTTTTGCACTCCATTCCTATTGAGGTAAAGGCCAACATTCCATTTGCCTTCCTTGTCACCCACTGAACTTGGATGTTAGCTTTCTGCGAGTTATACATGATTTACGCATTTCTGTGCTGTAGCTCTCTGCAGTCTTTTCCATTTAAATAATGTTCAGCTCCTCTATTCATTTTTTGTCAAAGTGCATAACCTCACATTACATTCCATCTGCCAAGCTTTGGCCCACTTACTTAACATGTTTATAGCCGCCTGCAATCTCTCCAAATCACCCTGAACACTTGCCGTACCAACTACTTTTGTGTCATCTGCAGGCTGGTTTTTGACTGGTTTTCTATGGTCTCTTCATTATTTTGTTCTCAGCTAGCTTGTCGAAACCAGGCTCGTGGAGGTCGATCACAGAATACCACGACTGCTGCTAATGAGTCTATTGCATAGACCAACAATCAGCAAGCTCAATAACAACGAAGGTCATTTACAAAATCTGTTCAAAAATGTAATACCTTAAAGGCTGCAATGGTGTTACTCAAATGCCACTACTCGTAAAAAAAAAGCAGGGTTCATTGGGTATTATAAATTAGAGGGTTAAATTATTAAGAAAATGTTTTGGTTCTTTGGAAAGCTTGGACAGGTTGAACTCAAATATGATGGAAAGCAGAACACATGACTGAGCCACATATGGCTGATGGTTACAGACCCCTGAGCTAGGTCTTGTCACCGCATCAGCTGAAGATGGAAGGAAAATGGCGGCACCCAGCTATAGGAATGGACTGTCTTACTCTATCAGTTGAATGAGGAGGCGTACAACTATAGGAAGCAGCACACTACTCTCTTCTCTCCATGAATGAGATCCTGATGGTGAAGGATATGACTTCGTCACAAATTGTCGCATTAATTCCTCTATTCAAATCATTGAAGTGTGACTGACAGCACATTTTTCAAGCATGCATGTGATGGCAGAATCTCTCACATGACAAATACAATCAGAAAATTGCCAGCAGTATTATTAAAATTTCAATCTGTGCCAAGTGCATGCCAAGTTCCACTGGTGGCATGCGATCTCTGAAGATCCCTCTACGTTCCCAAATCGGCCCTCATGACATTTCCCGTGTGAAAACCACATACTATTTTGAAAGTGTATAAACTCCAGCTTTGTACAAACGGAGTCGCGTTGCTGCCATGACTTGCATTTTCAAAACGAACCTCCACGTACTTTCATGCAGAATGGGTTAAAAAAATGTGTTCAGAAATAGCCAAAGAAAGTTCTGCTTACCCTGTGCCAGTAAGAGTGCTGTGGAGAAAGAGAAGGAAAGAGAGAAAGGATCAAATTTCAGTTACAATTATTCACAACCTTCCATTTTCACTTGGTACAGAAGAGGTGTACTGCAGTCACCAAGTACTGTCAGCTCATTTCCATTCATTGGCTTGAAATAGTTGGCATTTTAATTCCATTGTTACTGCAGTAATATTGCACATTATATTTCATTAGCACATCCGAACTAGCACTTTAATGATATGGAACAGTAAGAAATTATGTTTTTAGAACATTGTGCAACACAGTTATATCCTGATCAAGGCATAAAGCAAAGGGCATTTATTTTAGATTTGAATTGAGGTATATTGCTCAGCTGATTACTGGATGCTTCTGCAGTTACTTTGAAATGGGTTTTAGGATGTACTTCAAATGTTTGATCCAAATTTTTTGGGGGAGACAGTGAGACGGCAACTTTTGTTAAAAAGGCCAAAGGTGTTGCAAAGGAACGTAATCAGTCAAAGACTGACACTAAGCTAAAGAAAGGGATATTTGGGGAAGTCACTGAAGGCTTGGCCAAGGAGTTAGGTTTCAGGTCTGTCTTACAGGAGTGAAAGAACTGACGGCAAAGCAAAGTTGCCAATAGTGTGGAGTGAAAGAGTGGAGAATGCACGAGAGGCCAGAGTTCAGGAATGCAATGCTCTCAGAGGGTTGTGGGGCTGGGTGAGGTTACAGAAATAGGGGCGGGCATGGGTAAATCCACACAGATGTGGGGACAAGAATTTTAAACTCCAGGTCTCGGTGGATGTTTAGCAAATGTATGTTAGCAAGCATAGAGATGCGGGGTAAACAGAACTTGGTGCATGCTAGGATGCAGGAAACAGAGCTTAGGATGATCCCGACTTTACAGTCACTGCAATGAAAGTCACTGATTCCATGAAGCATGATGTGATATGATGTCTGCTCTAAACCCTTGACCATTTCCATCTAGAAGGACACTGGCAGCAGACGTATAGCAATACCATTACCAGCATGCGTGCCCTTTCAAGTCACACACCATTGGAAATATATCACTGAGTGCTCGCTGGTAGCATGTCAAAATCCTGGGAATCCCTCTCTAATACCACTGTGGAAGTGCCACCAAGCTTGGAACAGAGAATGCATCAGGGCTCAATAAAACAGGGCCTGGTGCTGTCTTGTTTGGGTCAGGGCAGAGATTGGGAGTGAGGGCAACTGTGCTCAGATCGAGGAGTGTATGGAGTTGTTGAGTTTGTGTTGTGAGTGGGACTGAGGCCAAGAGCCAGGAGCAGCACCACGGTGCTTAATTTGCATCCTTATACCACAAAGTCTGCAGCAATTCAAGAAGGCAGCTCACCACCACCTTTTCTAGGGCAGTGAGTTAGGGGCAATATATGCTGACCTGGCCAATGATGCTCACATCCTAAAAAACAATAGAACAACAAAAAAATGCAAATCGTGAGATCGGAGCAAATTAGTCTCCAAATTGCACTTGCCTTAATCAGAATATGTATGTAATGAAGACAGAAGAAGCCATCCTGCATGTTGGAACTTGACTTGGGAGAAAAATCTCCAACAAATAAACCTTAGTGGAGTCCAACTATTTTAACAGTGTCACTTGAAATATTGAATCTCATGTCCCAGAACGAGGGGGTACTACACAAACTCCAAGATACTGTTCCATATCAAATAAAACATTCCTGCTTATCTTATTAATAATTGCTCTTTTGTAGCAACTGTGTGCTGTACGCAGGGATTAGATAATGAGCCAAACATGGCAACGGTATCCATTCAGTTCAACATGCACAGGCCGGATTTCTAACAATCCAAAATAAAACAAACAGAATACAAGTTTTACTGACAATACAACTGGCCAGTTGTTCTTGCACAGCTTCTCCAGAATAAAGCTCATTTTGCAAAAATTGTAACCCCTTGGTTGCATTTTAAAGAAAGGACCAAAGCAATACCACTTCAAAATCTTTTTTTCCAATCTGCAAAAGAAGTTTGATTACAACAAATATCTAAGTCTGCATTAAGTTGGAGAAACTCAGCAGGTCTGGCAGCATCTGTGGAGAGAGTAACAGAGGCCACGTTTTGAGTCCAGTGTGGCTCTTCTTCAGATCTGCTGCACATCTTTCTGTCACTGGTCTACCATGTCTTGTGGTCCACATGATGCGTGAGCCACAAGATGACTTGGTCTGCCCCAAGCTGTTTGGATATATCCTTTATCGAGTCAGCTACACAGAGGAGATGCTTGTTCTTCCTCATATTCTTCTCAAAGTAGGGAAATAGTTGCCCTTAAGAGAAGGTCAACTGAAAGCAAGATCTCAGCAGATCAGGGGTCAGGAAAGTACTAGAAATCAAATCCTTGCTGCAGCATACCTCAACAACATCTTATACAACTATTATACTAACTACCAACAATATGCAATAAAGTGTCCCACCAAAAGTCATTTTAGATCACAGAATGGAAATATGTGCAACTTCATGGAAGTCTTGTTTTCTTTGGAAAGAACATCTGTTTAGGAAGTGCTTTACTTGCTCAAGAGCTGCTGTTGGCTACAGATGACTGACACTCAGTAGTTTATCTTGTCTTAACTCGAGGAATAAGCAAAAGCAAGCCAAACTTCTGGACCAACACTGCTCATACTCAGAGCGCCAGATCATATTCAAAATGATAAATACAAACGAAAGACATTGGGTGGACCTCTTTAGGAATGATTTGAGTCCTGCTGCTTGGCTAATGTGAGGCAGTTAGGTTTCAACACCTACTTCACCACATAGTGTTACTTCCTTCCAAATCAAATGCCCGATTTCCGACTATAGTCATCGCTTTTTAAATCTTTGGTCTATGCATAAACAGCTTTCCAAATCAAAGGTTAGTGACTCCTTCACCTTTTTAAGGCAGCCTTCAATATTGCCAAAGCAACTAAAGGATGCAGAGTTCCCAAGAAGTTTAGAAATATTTGGGAAAGGGAAACACTGTGCAAGTTAGATTTTTACTAGTGTTTTTTTTTAAGTGAATCCGGTTTGTGTAGGTCACATGAATGATGCTGTTGCTTTGTCAAACCTGCAGGGCCTCCACTTTTGGTGTTTCTGCCATGTTAAGTCTCAGCATTGCTGGCATGCTTTCTTTAATCAAACCAAAATATAACACATTCCGGTCATTCAACAGGCAAAGCAGCAACAGAATGGAAAAGCGAACATGTGTAGAAGTGTTCTTCACTGGTAACAGCACTATCACAAGCTCAAATGACAGTGTTTTTTAAAGAGACGGCAACCCCTTTGTACTTATTATTTAACTCTCAGCAAACCGAAAGGTGACTTGCGGCTGAGCCCTAGACTGGAGTGTTAACACTCTTCATTTGCCAAGGAAAATAATTAACAACTTGAAAGCTGGAAATTGAAAGAGCTCATTTAGTATGTTCCTCTCGTAAAAGATAAACAGCACTTCATTCATCAAAAAGGGAGTTTAACATTGTTGAGTATTTCATTAAGTTGCAATTAAATGTGTTTGGAAATTATTAATGATTCCAATAGCTAAATCTGTCACAGAAGCAATCAGAATAAAATGTGTTTTGTTTTGAAAACTGGTTTTGGGGGCTTTGATTTCTATTTTCAAACTTTCAAGACAACATGTGCACAATACTATCACAACTACACTGCTGAGATGGAGTCCCCATTAATGATTATAGAATATGCCAAATTGTATGCGAAACCTGATTGATTACTTTATACCAGACAGTGGCTTTACTTATGTGGCACTTGTGTTACTGATTCCTGGTGGGGAAGTAGCTGAAAGCATGAGAAGAGATACAAGCCATTCATTGTGACAAGTCAGAAATGGCCATTGATTTTAAGCTACCTTGAATTAAACTTAGTAGCATGCTCGTCCAAGTTACCCCTTTCCCTATTTGTGGTCTCTCACCCTATACTGCCACTCCTCACTCTATACTGTGACACCTGCAATAGGGTTAGGGTTAGGGTTAGGGTTAACCTAAAATATAAATTAAAAATATCAAAGAAGCAGAGTCTAGCCATCAGGGTGCCTCCTGCCATTTCTGACCTTAGCTGTGAAGTGTCTTTATGTATGCACTGAGCAGGATCTGTTGTAATGCCAGTTGAGGTTGTCTTAGAGTCATAGAGTTGTACAGCACAAAAACAGACCCTTCAGTCCAACGTGTCCATGCCTACCATATATCCTAAATTAATCTAAGTCCCAATTACCAGCATTTGGCCCATATCCCTCAAAACCCTTCCTATTCATGTATCCATCCAGATGCCTTTTAACTGTTGTAATTGTATTAGGCGCCACCTCTTCCCCTGGCAGCTCAGGCACCACCCCCTGTGTGATAAAGTTGCCCCTTAGGTCCCTTTTCAATCTTTGCCCTCTCACCTTCAAGCCAAGGCCTCTAGTTTTGGACTCCACTACCCCAGGAAAAAGACCTTGTCTATTCAACCTATCCAGGACCCTCGTGATTTTATAAACCTCTACAAGGCCATCCCTCAGCTTCTCTTAGGCAGGTTGTTTACCCCAGCGGGGGCCAGGCCCTGGAACTACATTCTGCAGAAGAAGACAGCTCACCAAGTGTCTGATTCACGACAGCTTGACATTCATGGGCAAGAGAGGTTAAATATTCTCCCAATGAATAGCTTCTAACACCCCTTGTACTTATAATTACCACTCCACTTCTCTGAAGACAATTACATCTGGCTTAAACACTCAGATTGTACAGAATATTTTTCTTATTCTGCAATTTGTAGTGTGGTCACCATGAGGTGATGGGAAGGCACAATAATATCCATGCTTCCTCTGCCTTTATGAAAGAATTATCCAACCATTTCCACTCACCTGCTCTTTCCCCATTGGCCTGCGAATTTTACTCTCCAAGCGCGTATACAAGTTCCCTTCGGAAGTTGCTAGCCACTGGCCTTTCAGGCATGGCCTTTCCCAGCACAACCAATTGCTGTGTACAAATAGATCACTCCTCATCTTCCCTCCTTTTGCCAATCACCTTAAATGTGTACACTCCCGCCAGAGGAAACAATTCCTCTTCTCTCTACTCGATCAAAATTCTGAACCACTCTGTTGAATGTGCCCACTATCCTCTCTGCTCTGGGAAGAACAATCCTGCCCACTCCAGATTTCCCAGCAGACTGAAAGGGAAAGAAATGTGAAGCAGCGTGAGTTGAAAATGGAACATACCACGGCACTGAGTGCTGTAGTTTAGAGTATTCTCTATTTATTCAGTTGTCCGTGGCAAGGCCAGTACTCCTCACTATTGAAACCAAGCATGTGTTTAAATGCAGTAAACTTGGGCAAACACAATGCATGTGGCTGGTGCAAGATCCCTGCGTAACCCTTTTTCTCAGGCTCACTTGAACTCTGCTTGAAACAAAAGTTTGAAGGACATCCTTAGCTGTTCAAGTGGAGGGGTTGCTGTCTCTTCAGTAATGGCTATGAATGGCTGACTGGCTGGGAAGCATCTCAGAAGGACACTAAAGTTGATTGACGTTTTCGAAAAAAAAAATGGATGATGAATAAAAGAGCAACAGAATCAAGCTGATCACAGAAAAATGGAGACGTGCACTGCCTCAGGACCTTTGGAGCTCAGGTTACAGAAATAAAGAGGTCGCCTCAGACCCTCACAGCAATGAGGCAATGTGTCCAAGTAATAGACTAGGCTGAGGCAAGAGTGCACATTGTCTAGGAGAGAAACAAAAAAAGCACGAGGCATAGATGACCGAAACAGGGTGAGAGCGGGAATACAGGAGGAAAAATAATAGATTTTCTCAAAAAAAAAGACGTTACATCTCAGGATCTCACACCTGATATTCCTCGTTTCATCCATTTCGGTTCACCAAGCACAATGAAGAAATGTTCTTGCTTTTCGTATTCCTCAGCATCATTTATTTTAACGCTTATGGCTTTCCTGTAAGGATATAAGAAAGAAAATGTACAATGGGTTGCTACAAAACCACTGCAGTCATACATGCGATTTTTTTTTTGTAAACTTGCTTGACGGTTAGTGGGAGGCAGCCTGCAGCACACCCAGATTGGTGTCACATGCCACCATTTTCTTGGCTTATTAGTAGAACATTAGTTAGAGCCAAATTCAGGCCTTCTTTCTCCCCTCCCTGCACCACTCCCCCCACCCAACAAAACCCCCATGCCATCTCCGACACTGCTCCCTGCACCTGTCCCTCCACCAAACTCAGCTCATTGTAAAGACTGGTCAAGGAATGGCAAGAGTTCCAGTGATATAACCTGCCAAACCTTTGAAATGTCCAACTCTGAGTAGTTGTATCCTGAAGCCAATGTAATCAAGCCAATGATTAACTCAGGCTGAAAGGGCAGAACAATTAAAAGTACCCAGTTTTTATTTTAATTTGGTTGCCTTCACCGCTGTATTCTTGCCCGATGAAATCCTGTTGTAGGCAGCAGGACAGATGGAGGAGGTGTTTTGAATGTGTTAAGTGTGGTTATTTCTGCATAGCTCAGAACTAAATTAAGCGACTTTTTTAAAGGCAAGGGTCTCCTGATCAATGCTTTCAATAGCAGATCCTTGTTCTAAGCTAACTTGTCCTGGCCAGTCATAGAGTCAAAGGATCAAACAGCATGGAAACAGACCCTTCGGTCCATCAATCTGGATTCAAACCTCAGAGTTTCACGGCCAGCACTCGCATGGCTGATACCTAGCCAGACCACTGCCTGGGGATAAGTTAACCACATTGGTGTGGAATTGGAGTCACAAAAAGATCAGATTGTGTTATGCATATTTCAACAAATTAATGCATCAGAAGCATTTTAATTCCAATTCTTAAATTTACAATGGCGAGATTTGAATTCATAACGGATGGATTATGAGTCCTGGTATTTGGCTTATAGTTTCAGTATCATAAGAATTCTGCTATCAAGTCCTTCCTGCTGCCACTTCCAGACCCTCTTGCTAACATTGAAGGGATTTGTGTCCTAGGTGTTTAATTTGCCAACAGTTTATGCTAGTCTCTGAGGTCATCAGGTATCTCCAGCTTGGGTTATGCATTGGTTGGAAAACACAGTGTCCTCTCAGGACCATCAGAGCTTTACTGCATATACTCAGGCGAGGCAGGGTGTGCAGCCGTGGCCTGTTCTTACCTCCATCTTTCGGGATTAGGCAGTGTATTCTGGGTACTGTAAATTAAGGGGCATTACTCAAGGCATCAGTCACACACTAGAGCACCAGATTCCCCTAATATACCACAATGTATCTGTGCAATCCTCCCCTTCAACTTCAATATGACCTGGAACTTGAAACTACACAGAAACATTGAGATACTTTTAAGTTTGTTGGGTCTGTGCAGAATGATAAATAATTTTATGCTGAAGCCCCTTCTTTTACCTGGGATTCCTTTCTTACTGTTTACTACTCAGCTGTACAGTGTCGAAAATATCTGTACGCTTCGCTTTTGTGGCATTGCACACTTGGCACTGGTTACTGAATGTGGGCAAGTATTGACTTAATTTCACCTTCTATGGTGAGGTTTTTATAGTGCGATGTTATTGGTGAAGGTTGTCTTGGCCCTTATGGTCATATTCTGGTTTAAATGTGATGTCCCTGCCAGCAGAGGTGAACAAAAACAACTCTAAAAGGAACAAGGCTACTTCTTTCTGGCTATTGACATCCAAACAATGCCACACAGTGTTGGGCAGGCCAGACCTGGCCCCCTTCGCCAGGACGGTATGCCATGATTCATGATTTTAAACATGTGAACACACAATAGCTCTTCCCCATTAGCCAGGCTACAATACTCTGCTTGAAGCAGCTCCGAGATACTTTCAGTTAAGCCATGGGATCGGGAGCTGCCTTCAGCCTGCACGGACCCAAGTTGGACCGTCACGCTGACACATTCTCTCACCTGCCTTCCTTGCTGCTGGGGCTCAAGAGGCATTGAAAGCAGGCAAGCTGTCGGCAACAGGAAAAAGGCACAGCGTCATTGTGAAGGGCTCCCAACTGGCAGGTTAATTGGAGCAGTGTTGGTGGGCCAGGTTAGAAGCTCCCTAATGCACCAAGATTGAAATGGGCAGCATGTGACAGATCTGACTGCGAGTGCAGCAGTGTTAAATATCTCTTGGGAATCAAGCAGTCAAACAAGACAAAGAAAGAGAGGGAGGGGGAGATCAGAGAAAGGGAAAGAAGGAAGGAGAGAGGAGGGTCTTCAGCAGTGGCTCATTCTGGCGAGTACTCCACCTTTCTGTGAACTCATATCCACCATGCGTGGGTCCGTCAGCTCAATGAAGAAACTCTTGTTTTTTTCATATTCCTCATCATCAATTATTTTGATCTGAGCTCTTTTGCTGCAAATGAAAAACAATAATGTCACAAGGGAAGGGAAAGGAAAGGGGCGGGGTTGGAAAAGAATGGGAAGGGGAAGGATAGGACCACGGGTGCAGTGATGGGTGAGTATTGCCAATAAGGGTAATTCATTAGTACCCCAGAGCAAGAGATTACATTGTCAGTGATGAACTTTACTACACCTGTGGATAAACAACACACAAAACTTGGAAAACACAACCCTGGTGGTCAGACGCATTCTGTGCATTAGTAACCAACACAGTAATATGTTTGTGTAAAATTCCTCTGTCGGACATTCTAACACAGGTCAGCCAGCAACGTGTAGGTGCATTGCTGTGTTAAAGTGCTGGCAAAGGAATTCACACCAATGATGCTTTGATGGTTTCTCACAAACTCTCCCACAGCATGAGGCTTCTTCAGGATTAAGTCAAGGTGTCAGTGCTATACAACACTTGTTAGTCAACACAATGGCTATTAGTTGCCTGTTCAGCAGTTCACAACTACCATAATATAACAGAAAACCATCCTACACTGATTCATAATTACAGCACTATTTTAGAATGAAAAAGCATTAATAATCAAAAATTTTCAACAAAAACTTTACTAAAGTTTCCATAGAGTATAGATGTTTAGTTTGAACATAACATTATATCATTTTATGCATATGACAATGATCTCCCCTTCACATGCATTTAGATCAATGCTTTAAATCTATCTTTAATAGATAATGATATCTACACTTGGATACTAGATGTTGAGCTGTTGTAACCAGACTGAAATTTGACTGAAAAGACTTAATAAAGCCAGAAAGCACCAGACCTTAAGTGAACTGGCAGTATTAATATTCAATACAGGATACCCTGTCACCAGTTCAAGGCTGAATCCTATCTTGGAAAAATATCAATAAACACATGGCACTATCTTATCATATATGTGGAACTGCTTACTGAGATTAGAGAGTTTTTTTATCATTCTTTGTAACGCTACATATAAGTTTTGTAAAGTGGGCTGTATTTCTTCAAAGTAGAGGATCTTCAGGATAACTCCGGAAGGGAGTTGACAGGCTGCAAGGTCTCTCCCACTCTAGGCCTCATTATTGTTATATTTCTGATGGTTACATAGGGCTGCAACTGGCAGCTGAATGTATGGGTACAGGCTTTGACTGAAGACAGAGTCGGGCTCATCTGCAACATTCCCATATTGGAATGTCCAGGTTAACATATAATGAGCCTCTGAGTGTGATACTTCCATATCAGTCACAGGGTTTAATAAGGTATGAAGGGAAAAAGCACACACTTCAAGCTACTCAATGTAAGCGGTTGAATTCTCAACCTCAGATTAATAGTGTACCAAACAGAACAACAGGCTAAGCAATTACAGCTCCTTTATAACTAGAAGCAATAAAATAGCAGTTAATTCATTTAAAATCACACATAATTAAAAGAATCCAAAACAAACAAATGAACAAATCATCAATTTTAACTATTGATTTATCATTTGCATCTAGAAAATCAAAACATAAAGTTGTTCTTTAGCAGTGAACACCAAGGTCTGAAACTTCCTATTTTTAGACTAAATATTATATTTGGATTTTTTTTTCTTGGTCAATGGTAAGGAAGTTGATAATGCAGGATTCAGTGATCGTAACACTATTGAATGTCAAGGAGCACTGATTAGTTTGTCTCTTATTGGTGATGGTCATTGCCTGGCATTTGTGTGGCATATATGTTACTTGCCATTTGTCAGCCCAAGCGTAGATATTGTCCAGATTTTGTTGCATTTGAATATGGACTGGTTCACTGAGGTGTCATGAATGGTACTGAACATTGTGCAATCATCCACGAACATTCTCACTTCTGACCTTATGATTGAGGGAAGGTCATTGACGAAGCAGCTGAAAATGGTTGGGCCGAGGACACTACCCTGAGGAACTTCTGCAGAGATGTCCTGCAACTGAGATGATTGACTTCCAATAACTATAACCATCTTCTTATGTGTCAGGTATGACTCCAACCAGCGGAGGCTTTTGCCTCTTGGTGCCCACTGATTCCAGTTTTGCTAGGGTTCGTTGATGCCACACTCAGTCGAATTTTGTTTCTTATACATTCATAGGACGAGGGCATCACTAGCTAGGCCAGCATTTATTACCCGTCCCTAATTGCTGAGAGGGCAAATTCCTGTGGGTCTGGAGTCACATGTAGGCCAGACCAGGTAAGGACAGCAGTTTCCTTCCCTAAAGGACATTAGTGAATACAGCCTTGGTATCAAGGGCTGTCACTCTCACTTCACCTCTGGAATTCAACTTCTTTGTTTGAACCAAGGCTGTAGTGAGATCAGGAGCTGAGTGGCCTAAGCTGGGCATCACTGAGCAGGTTATTGCTGAGCAGGTGCTGCTTGATAGCACTGTTGATGACACCTTCCATCACTTTACAGATGATCAAGAGTAAATGTATGGGGCAGTAACTGGCTGGGTGGGATTTGCCTTACTTTTTGTTTACACAACATACTTGGGCCATTTTTCACATTGTCGGGTAGATGCCAGTGTTGTGCTGGAACAGCTTGGCTAGGGGACCAGCAACTTCGGGAGCACGAGTCTT